GTAATACTATTAAAATGCAGTGGTGAACAGAAAGAGTGAACAGTGCCGTGTTAGGCACGTCACACGTGATTTAGTTCGCATTTTTACTGTAATATCTACTTCAGAATCAGTCTTTCGAGTTTCCACCCCTCATGTTTGATTGTTTGTGATCTAAAACGTGTCGTAGTGTTAGCCAGAATGTGGGGTTAGCCATAAATATACGTACCTAAATGCCGCGTTGGGTCCAGCCAGGCACGTCAACGACGCCGCCATTTTGGGGCGGTCAACATCGCTGCTGGACTGCATTCAGTACCATTACAGAGCGGCAGTTTAAGAAAGATACTGTCCGAAATTACACTATTTCAGGAATATTACACTCAGAAAGTGGGACAGGATTATATAACGGAGGGAACGGAGTGACCCACACTCATGTTTGTGTGTTGTTTATGTAGACATGGCCGTGTGGTTGGTGAAGCACAGAGAACTTGCTGATGTGATTGTTTTTCCTCTGGTTTCATATTAAGCTTATTTCATTTAATAGTCTATACAGGGGTCTTAACTTTATGTAGTAGTTGTTTATTTATAATGATGGTTAAAGCTTTGTAGCGGTAAATTACAGCATTACTTAATCCCTGTAGATATTCATAACAGATTAACGTTAGCACCTTCTTACACGAACCTAAAGTCAAAATCTTATTTGCCAGCTTCTTGTTTGAATTTTCCCGTTGCACCTTAAATTGTGCAGCAGTGACTTTCTGGTTCCTGAAGCTGCAAAATATTTATAGATTCATCTGAAATTATTGGTTTTTTAATTGTCTGATCAATAATGTTATGTTGTATGTCTGTAGCTAATGTTTTAGTTCCTGTGCTAGTTTGAAAAATTCTGCATTAGCTTCTTAAAGACACACAGAACCAAAATCTGTGTTTTCTAATTAGGTTAATGTTGTTCTTGCAGGCAAACAGTAAACCTGTACTAAGTTTACGCTTTGAATAATGTACCACTGACCAATAATAACCGATATATTTCACCATATTTCTCGCCTCTCAGTGTAAACTGGGCGGTCCTAATCTTAGGTAACGCTTCTATAAGCATTCCCCTGACCAATCACAAGGCTTGCCCCGCCTACACAGAACAGTTTCAGAACAGAGTCAGAGAAACTTAGCAAGCTAAAGTTAACCCAGCATTAGCAAGCATAAGCTAACCCAGACCACCTGCCTTTAGCTGCCTGTCGCCCGTTCACTCGTTTATCCAACAACAACAGTGTTTGCTCATCCATTCGTTCATTCACGCAGTGCTTCCTCCATCCGTTTGTTCGTTCATGACTTTGTCTGTCCAGTTAGCATCACATAAAAGCCAGATAATCAGTTTAGTTCTGTCTGACAGACGGAGTGGGCTAGAAGTGTTGGACAGAGAGCTGTCAATCAAGCTGCTTGTTAGCCACGCCCACACAGTTCTCAGACAGGTCTGGTCAGCATTTTTTTAGCATTTTTATATCATATTTTTCATTCAAGCTTGAGAACACTTAAGTTTAGTATCATACAAACACAATTTAATATTTGACTACCAATAATATCATAATATTTTACTGTTCCCTGGGACTTTAAGCATTCAGTTTTTTTTTTGGTGAGCTGTGTTCTTAGCATTAGCGAACATGATTCAGATCTCATGGAGCGACTTCGGAGTGAAATTAATACTTAATACAAGTTCAAATCACTGAAATTTTCGAACGGAACGACTCAATTCATAGGACAAAAGGCTCCTGAACAACAGCTTGATATTATTTTTATGCTCCGTTGTGTTGAGGACAACCCAGTTTTAGCTCTGAGTCACGGATAAAAGAATTGCTTTTGATTGATCAGCATTGATAAGCCTGGATTTCTCTTGAGCTGACTAAGTTAGCTTGGACTGACTTGTTAGATAACACTACAGAGCACAGATACAGAGCTATCACAGTGCAGATAGCTGGTAGATTGCTATTGAAAACAGTCTATAGTGTGTGATTACATTATCTTAGCTTTGAGCTCGATTAATCCTGTGTTTAGTCTTAGTCCTTTTGTCTTAGATTGCTAGTCATTCAGCTGGACTGATGAGATGATTCCAGTGTCCATCTTGGTCCAACCTTGTCCAGGAGAACATCAAGCTAGAGCTTGTTTACTCCAAAACAGCTGTGACATCATGGTCAGCTGGTTCTTTGACTAATGCCTGGCCCACTTTCAGAGCTGCCAGATTGCTTTTCTGTAGTTAATGAATAAAAAACACCCAAAATGTCAGTCAAAAACCTAACACAGGAACACGGGAAGTGGGGTGATGAGGGTGCAGCAGCGCCCCCAGAGTTGGTTAACTGCAACTGCTAAAAAGAATTTTTAAAATTATCTACTTGCTTTAGAGTGGAGTTTGTATTTTTGCGTTTTATTCAAATATTTTAAAAACCTGCAGCAGGCAAATCGCTTCTCTTGCCCCCTGCTGGCTGCTTTGGAGTGTCGCTAAAACACACACAAGTTGAGGTGAAAAGAGGGAGTATGCAGAGCTGTAGGACATTTCTGAGCCCAATGTTGTTTTTAAGACTTAAAGGAATGTAATGATAACCTGCGCTTTAAATACCTTCTTGTTTTATCAAAGGTTTGGAGCGAGTTCGAGTGTGACTGTAGGCACGACACAATTGGTTACTGTGCTGCACATCAACAATCTGATTAGATGTCACTCAGCTAATTTGCATAAAGTTCATCCAGAAGGAGAAAGAGCAGAGAAATAATACATCATTTAACCAACATGACATAAAAAATAAGCTTTTATTATTGATAAGTATTTTAGCTTTTATTAACAAGTATTTAAGATGTCACTCTACACACTTAAAAAGATGGTTCTTTAAGGGTTATTTAGTAAAGAAAGGGTTCTATGTAGAACCATGAACAGTCAAAGAATCCTTTGCATAATTAAAGGTGCTATGTAGAACCATACATAACACATTATACATCAATCTGAAGAACTCTTTCACAATTCAAAGAACACTTTAATCATGCAAAGGGTTCTTTGACTGTTGACAGTTCTACATACAACCATTTTCTTCACTAAAGAACCCTTGAAGAACCATCTTTTTTAAGTGTGTGTGGTGCTGGTTGCCTTCAAACAAACGTGTGTATTTTATCACTACTACAACAGCCAAAACTTTATACGTAATTTTAGAACCAGTTCACCATTCAGAGAACCTTTTAAGCATGCAATCATGCAAAGGGTTCTTTCAGTGTTCATGGTTCCATATAAAACCATTTTCTTCACTGTTTACTTTTTTTTTTTCTTTAAAGAACTCTTAAAGAATCTTTTTAAAGAGTGTACAAGCACTGACGATATACACAACATGTTCAGAAAAGCATGTTGTATTGCATTGTGACATAATTTATCACAATAATATATATATATATATATACACACATATTGCCCAGCTCTACTATCAAACATCTAAGAAATTAAATAATTACATTATTTAATTTGCATCTACATCTTATTTCCATAACTTTCAAAGCTCAATAGTGTTTTAGATGAGCTTTTTAACAAGTTGTATTTAGGACCCGTGATACCTTGCAATCAGAAAGGCAGATGAATAGAAATACAATTCCAAGAATATCTATTTCTCGTACACCTTTTTAAAACTTGCTGACCTTTACAGGATGTGCTGAGCAGATCATGGGCCATTCCAGTTTCCTGCCGTGCTCAGTACGGTCAGTAATGCAGCATGAACTGGACCATCCATGCCATGGTATTGTTATTTCAGACAAAACGAAAGTGACCAAATATTTAAACACTTATGTTACAACAGCTGCTACTGAGCTAGTGGAACAACTTCCTAAACATTCAGGTATTTATAATGAATAGCAAGTGCAGACTAATTATCCTGAATGTGGGATCAAGTCTTGAGGCTTTTCTTTCAAAGTTAATGAGGATCAGCTCTGCAAAATATTAAGTAAACTTAGACCCGAAAAGCAACAGGTTTAGATGGGATTCCTGCTAGGTTTCATATTATTAATTTATCCATTGAAGAAGGACAGGTTCCAAAGGAATTAAAAATTGCATGAATTGTTCCTCTTTTTAAAAAGGGATGTAAAGAAGGAGGGAATTATAGACCAGATTCCATTTGAGGTATTTTATCCAAGGTTATGAAAAAGATTATTTATAAGCAGATTGCATAATATATCGTATTTGCTACAGTCTGGATTCAGAAGATCCCATTCCACAGAAATTTGTTTTTTGTATCTGACTGATCTTATTAGGAAGGAGGTCGATGCAGGTCATTTCTGTGGTATGGCTATGTTGGACCTAAAAAGGTGTTTGATACTGTAGATGGTGGCATTTTGCTATATAAATTAAAAGCTAGAGGTTTTAGTGAAATGGCCATTAAGGGGGTTAAATATTATCTCACAGGAAGAGCTCAAAGAGTAGATATAAATACAACATTTTCACATTTTAGGGATATTGTATGTGGAGTTCCTCAGGGACATATTCTTGGGCCATTATTGTTTTTATTGTATATTAATGATTTGAAACTAGCTTGTTCATGTGACTTATTTCTTTATGCTGATGATGTTGCATTGTTAGTATCTTATAAAGATAAAGCTGAGGTAGAAAACAGATTAAGGATCGAGCTTTAAAAAGTTTCAACGTGATTGGCTGGCAATAAATTGTCATTTCACTTAGGGAAAATGGAGGTAATCCTACATTAGTCTCGTAGCTCCTGTGCTACAACTAAAGAAGCACCAAATATCTCTTAGTTGATTGGCTATTTTTGGTGTAAATGGATGGGGGATCTGGGTAAATTAGATCCTTTGCTATTGCTTCAAATTGCTGTGCCACTTTTGATGATGTTTTGTTTATTGATCCTGTGTGATCTTGCTTGGCCTTTTTGTCTTTAGTCAGATTTGGAGCACAAGTCAAGAGTAAGAATATGTTCCTCAGAGCATCTTCATCATGGGGCCATCATCATCATCATCATCATCAGCATCATCATTAGCACAAATATAGAAACATCATGACTGAACCTTCTCCAATGGCTCGAGCTGGCATTCCACCACCTCCACCACCGCCCCCACCACCGCCCCTACCCCCCCTCTTGCTAAATTCCAGTTCCGGCTCCAGTGGTGTTTCTGGCTCCGGTCGGTTGCGAAGCGTGTTCTGGGAGCGTATTCCTCAGGAGCGAGTGGAGGGCAGACGCAGTGTCTGGACCAAATCGGATGAGTTTCCAATTGACCTCAGTTCACTAGATGAGCTTTTTGGACAGCGCCAGGGTCACCAGATCAAAGTTCTTGGGGTCAGAGGTCACCGTAGTGGAAATAAACGCACTAACATGAATGCACCTCCTCGGAACACTTTGGAGAGGGTGAGACAGACTATCTGAATCTTTTTGACTGTGTGTGTATTTTCCCTGCTCTAACACAGCTGATTCAAACCATCAGATGATTTCCAACCTCTTCAAAGCTGAGTCAGGTGAGTTAGAGCAGGGAACCGGGCCTGACCTGCTTTGGTTAGGTATAAGCTTTTGAGTTATTCTGTCTGTCTGACAGCCTTTCCTTTCTTCTTTTATCTCAGATATCTATTCTGGAGGGGAACAGAAGTCTGAAAGTCGGGATTTTTCTGCATCATTTTAAGAGGTGTGTTAGTCAGTTCCTGAAAAGATGTTAAATCCTTGAAAAAGTTGTTAAGTTTCAGGATCGCTTTTGCCCAGAGTTTGGCTTTGTCAGGGTTTATGTAAGGGATTAGCATAAGAAAAGGGTTTGGTTATGTAGTGATCTGGTTGGGTAAGGTGTTTGGCTAAAGGGGATAAGAGGTGTGGTTCAACAAGGGCCTTGGTTAGGTAAGAGTTTTGGCTGGGTGGTTGTGTAAAGGGTTATGTAATGGGTTTGATTGCGTAGATGGTTTAGATGTCTAAAAGATTTGTTTGGGTAAGAGGTTTGGTTAGGGGTTTAGTAAGAAGTTAGGTTAGGGGTTTAGTAAGAGGTTTGATTAGGTAAAAGGTTTAGTTAAGCAAAGAGTTTGGTGGTGTGAAGGATTTAGTTGAGTAAAGAGTTTGGCTGGCTAAGGGATTTGGCCAGGAAAGAGTTTGGGTAGAGGGTTTAGTTGGGTAGAGGGTTTAGTTGAGTAAGGGATTTGGGCAGGTAAGAACTTGGGTAAAGTGTTTGGTTAGGGAAAGGGTTTGGTTGAATACAATTTCAGGTAAAGGCTTAAGCTGGGTAAAGGATTTGGTTGGGTGAAGGGTTTAGTTGGGTAAAGGGTTTGGGCAGGTAAAAGGCTTTGTTGGTAAGGAATTTGGTTGGTTAAAGGGTTTGGTTGGGTAAGGAATAGGGGGGGATATGAGTTCAGGTAAAGGGTTTAAGTTAAGTAAAGGATTAGTAGTGTAGTGTAGTGTATGAGATTTGGGCTGGTAAAGTGTTTGGTAAGAGTGCAGGGTTTGGTTAGGTAAGAAATCTGGGCAAGTAAGGGGATTGGTGGGGTAAGGGATTTGAGCTGATAAAGGGTTTGGCTGGGTAAGGAATTTAGGCTGCGAAAGGGTTTTGTAGGGCAAAGGGTTTGGTTGAGTAAAGAATTTGGGTATGTGAGAGTTTGGGTACAGGCTTCAGTTTGGTTATGGGATTAGTTGGGTAAAGGGTTTGATTGGGTAAGAAATTTGAGTGGTTAGTGGTTTGTTTGGGTAAAGGAGTTGGGCTGGTAAAGTGTTTGGTAGGGTAAAGAGTTTGGTTGGGTAAGGGGTTTGGTCAGGTAATAGTTCATACAAAGGGTTTGTTGGGTAAGAAATTTGATTGAGTAATAGGTTTGACTATGTAAGAGTTTTGTGGGGAAGAACTTCGGTAAAAAGTTTGAATGGGTAAAATGTTTGGCTAAGATAGTTAAGGAGTTTTTGAGCATATAGGTTTTAGTTGGGCAACAAACTTTGTGGGTGAAGAGTTTCAGTAAGAAGTTTAGTTCAGTAATTGGCTTGGTTAGGTAAGAGTTTGAGTTATGGGTTTTGTTTGGTTATATACATTTTTTGGGGTAAAGGATTTGGCTGGATAGGAAGTTTAGTTGGGTAAGACTTAGGTAAAAGGTTGATTCGGTATGATAAGATAACTCTACCCTGCTATGTCTTCAGTGTTACTTATTTCATGTTTCTGTGTCACACAGTTCTCTGGGAGAGATCATTAATGATATAAGAGAGGGGCGTGGCCAGCGCTATGGCAGCGAGAGGCTCAATGAACTCTACAAACTGTTGCCTGATTGTAATGAGGTGAGTATACGTGTGTTTTTATGTGTGTATGTGTCTGTGTCTGGATGTAGTATTGACACTGTGATACTGTGTTTATGTTTATAGGAGCAGACACTGAGGTCATTCAGAGGTGAGCGCAATCAGCTGGAGGAGGCCGATCTCTTCATGCTCCATCTAGTGGAGATTCCTAGGTACTGCAACATACCCTCCCACTCATTACGCACACATGGAACTCTGAGCTCCGTCACTCTGTAATCAGCGTCCTGCCAATATTACATTCATGGAAATAAAGGTGTTGTAGCAACATTAAAGGTGCCGTAGAAAGGAAAACTGTATTTACATTTGCATAGTTGAATAAGGAGAGTTCGGTACATGGAAGTGACATACCGTGAATCTCAAACACTGCCGTCTCCTTTAAATACAAATGCCGCGTTTGTAAAGTAGGGATAAAACAGTCCAATTCCAAAATCCCAGGTGCACTTTCCTCACATATTTACCCTCATACTTAATTTATTTCTCTCTCACTCTCTCTCCATCCTGAAGTTTTCGACTGCGTTTAGAGGCAATGATTCTGCAGGAGGAGTTTGACCACACTGTGACCTCTGTGTCTACATCTGCACGTTGCCTAGCAACAGCAGCTACAGGTGAGTTTAAACAAACAGTGCACCTTAGAAGGACGTACAATCCAGATAGAGAAGTACACAATCGGAGAACTCCATACATTCACACCTGTCCTAATTATTGAGTTCAGGTGTTTCAGCCACATCCATTGCTAACAGGTGTATAAAATCAGGCAGATCTGCCTTGGTCAACTGTAATTGCTATTGTAGCATCTAGGAACAACAATGGCTCAGCCACGAAGCGGCAAACTCACAGAGGAGGGCCACTGATCTGCTGTTGCATCGCTCACTACAGAGATCTTAACTGCCTCTGGAAGCAACATCAGCACAATAACTGCACATCAGGAGCTTCCTGAAATGGTTTTCACAGTTGAGCAGCTGCTCACAAGTCCAAGATCACTATGTGCAATGCCAGGTGTCGGCTGGAGTGGTGTAAAGCGCCACCACTGGACTGGAGTGATGAATCAGCTTTACTATCTGGCCGTCTGATGTATGAATCTGGGTTTGGTGGACGCCAAGAGAACGATACGTACCGGAATGCGTAGTGCCAACAGTAAAGTTTGGTGGAGGAGGGATGATGGGCTGGGCTGTTTTTCAGGGTTTGGCCTCTTAGTTCTAGTGAAGGGTGATGTTAATGCAGCACACAAAGGCATTTTAGACAATTATCTGCTTCCAGCTTTGTGTCAGCAGTTTGGGGAAGAGCCTTTCCTGTTCCAGCATGACTGAGACCTTGTGTACAAAGCAGCTCCATAAAGACATGGTTTGAGGAGTTTGGTGTGGAGGAACTCCAGTGGCCTGCACAGAGCCCTGACCTCAACCCCACTTAACACCTGTGGGATGATCTAGAACGTTGATTGTGAGCCAGGCCCTTTCGTCTAACATCAGTGTCTGACTTCGCAAATGCTCTTTTGACAGTCACAGACACTCCAAAATCTTGCGGAAAGCTTCCCAGAAGAGTGTAAACTGTTTTAGCCACAAAAGGGGAAGACTCCATATTAATACCAATTGGTTTTGGAATGGAACAAGCTCATATAGGCGTGATGGTCAGGTGTCCATATAGTTTTGACCATTTAGCGTACTTATTTAAGGCAGATATTTTTATGTATTTGGTTTGGAAAACTCGGCTGGTTTAAGCAACATAGAAATAACTGTACTGAATTAAGTGCTTCTTTATTCGTTATATAGTGAAAAAACAAAATGTGCTGTTCTACCCTACATACTGAATTTAGATTCTTTTCACATTAGCCAAAATATGCAATTTCAGTCTCTTTCAGCCTCAGTTCAGCTTTGAATTTTAATATTTTTAATCATGTTAGATTTAAAAAAAAAAAGAAACAAAAAAAAATGATGTTATTTGATTACATCAATAAAAATATACAGGATGACATCAATTCTGCTGGTGTAATGGACATTAAGAAGCCTCCAGAAAGGGTTTTATCTCTCTCTCTCTCTCTCTCTCTCTCTTTTTTCTCTGTGTCTCTCTATCAGAGCTGATGTCATGTGTTGAGCTCCACTCTATCCTGCGTTTGGTGCTGAAAGCTGGAAACTACATGAATGCTGTAAGTGACTTTACTGTTACATATACGGACCGACTCACTCACTCACTCACTCACTCACTCACTCAACCCCTCTCTGTCTCTTTCCGTTTAGGGGGGATTCGCTGGTAACGCTGCAGGATTCAGGATCTCCTCCCTGCTGAAGTTAGCCGACACTAAAGCTAACCGACCCGGCATGAACCTCCTGCACTTTGTAGCCATGGTACGCTCCGTCCATAACCTGATCAATTCCCTATCACTGATCAATAGACATGTGGCTTCCCACGCTGGACTGATCACGGAGGAGCTTACATGGACACAAGCAGAAAACAGTGTATGCTTAGTGTATGACTAAGAATAGTCACCAAAAACAAGCTAATAAGTAACGAAAGCGTCTACCCCACCAGTTAGCGCACTTTAGTCCATGTTTAGATAACAGTAAATTATACAGTATTAGAACCACGTAAGCAAATCTCTGAGATGAAGTAGTGCTACATTTAGGAATAATTAAGAATAAAGATTCACTATTATTAGGAATGAATAGGAATGATTTGGAATGAAGCTGCACTACCATTAGGAATCATTCGAAACAAAGCTTCACTATCATTAGGAATGAATTTGTAATGAAGATGCTCTATCATTAGGTATGATTAGGAATGATTTCAAATAAAGCTGCATTACATCCTACATCAGTAGGAATGATTTGGAATGTTGCTGCACTATCAGTAGGAATATTTTGGAATGCTGCTGCATTGTCATTTGGAGTAATTTGGAATGTTGTTGCCCTACCCTTAGGAATTATTTGGAATGTTGCTGCACTATCAATAGGAATGATTTGGAAAGTTGCTGCACTATAATTAGGAATGATTTGGAATGCTGCTGCATTGTCATAAGGAATGCTTTGGAATGTTGCTGCACTATAATTAGGAATGATTTTGGAGTGCTGCTGCATTGTCATTAAGGATGATTTGAAATGTTGCTGACTATCATTAAGAATGATTTTGAATGTTGCTGCACTGTAATAAGAAATAAGATTTGGAATGATGACTCACTATCATTAGGAATGATTTGGAATGAAGCTGCACTATGATTAGGAATCATTCAGAATGAAGCTGCACTATCATTAGAAATGATTAGGAATGATTTGATTACATTGATTAGTAATGTTGCTGCAAGGTCAGTAGGAATGGTTTGGAATGCTGCTGCACTATCATTAAGATTGAACATAATTTAGTCCACTTTTATGGATAAGTTAAATAATGTCAGAAACCACATAATCAACTCTGGGAGAGATACTGAACACCTCCACACGCTTTGCGGCGAGTGTGTGGTGACTTAGACGTGCAGTTAGCACCAATGCTACTTGGTGTGGCATAAGCTTCTATTACAGGTTAGCTACATTAACCTCGTAGCTCCACTGCTAAAATTAAAGGAGCAAACTTCAGGCACCAAACATGTCTTGGGTGATGGACTACATTTGGGCTAAGAGGGGGAACAAATTGGAGGAATTGTATTTTTTGCCGATCTGTTGCTTTAAAGGTGCAGTGTGTAAGATTCAGGGGGATCTATTGTCAGAAATGAAATAGAGTAAACACAACCATGCTTTCGTTGGTGTATAATCACCTGTAACTACAAATCGTTGTGTTTTTGTTAGCTTAGAATGAGCCCTTCATATCTACATAGGGAGCGGCTCCTCTTCCAACAGTGGCCGCCATGTTGCGCCACCATGTTTCTACAGCAGCTCAGAGTGGACAAACCAACACTGGCTCTAGGGGCGCCTTTCATGCTTTTACGCTGAAGCAGCGGCTTGAATTTGGTGGCGCTGTAGCTCCGGTTTGGAAGACGGAGCAAGAAGAAGAATCAGTGGTTGCTGCCGAAGCTGCTGAGTATTTTGTGTTGTGAGAAGTTTGAGAAACCAAATTTTGACAAATGGAGGATCAGACTTATTATTTGGCACAAGAAAAAAGCGAAGGAGGGTGAATCCTCACCGTCAAAGAAGAGAAAACATGAAGAAGCGAATCGAAATTGGGACAGGCGGCGTCAGAAAACCTGGCGTCCACTGTAGGTTTTACTACCTGCTTGGAAAGGGAGGGGATTCAGCTGGTTGCAATCTGTAACCTCACCACTAGGTGCCACTAAATCTTATACACTGCAACTTTAATGGGTGAGTGAGAGGTAAATAAATTGCCATGTTTGTGTGAATGAGAGAGAATGTAATGCCTCTATGTGTGTTTACAGGAAGCAGTGAGGAAAGATCCATCCATCCTCTCCTACCACCTTAAACTCAGCCACGTGGGACCAGCAGCCAGGTGAGTGTGTGGATGATCAGGTTCTACTGGGGAGCCCAACCTTTTCAAGCAATAAATCATGAATCTATCGCATCTCCTTCATTCAAAATAATGTACACTATAAAAAAATTTCTGTTCAATTTTAAAGTGAATTAAAGGGCCGCCTTCTAAAATGAAACATTTGAGCTAATTCAACTTCTAATAGGAAGTTAACAGAACAAGGATCTGTGCCTTAAGTTCTATTGACTTACTTTTTCAAGTTCAACAAACTTTAAATTTGATGGCAGCCTGGTAATAAAGTTTTCCCCAAAATCTATTTTTTTTTTAACTTTTGAGGTTATTACAAAGAGCAACAACAGAAATGCAGCAATGAATTAGCAGCCTGAAAATATACAAACACAAACTGTGATTAAAAGAGAGTAGAAAATGTATCAACCCAGACTGTAAAAGCAAAAAAAACAGTACAATGAAAATTAATAATAATAATAATAATAATAATAAAGTTTGTGGGAACAGTGCCCCATTTTACTTTGGGTATGCCCGCTTCAGGCTAAAATAGGGTGACAGTCATTCAGTTAATATCAGTTGTAGAGCTAGATTGCGTCAGAATGTGTTAGCATATTGACAGGGTGGGCGGAGCCTGCTGCACCTCGACCTTCCATTGGCTAAACGGGCTGTAAACTGGACTTGGGGTTCATCGCCACATCAGTTCATACACATGCTGAAGTGGCACAAATCCGATTTTTTGCACCTAATGTGACTCAGATCTGATGTCTTTTCTGAACTGATCTTTTCAAATCTGATCTGAGCCACTTTTATATGTGGTCCTAGATTGGATATGTATCCGATTCGTAGCCATGCGACCTTAATGTGACGCTCAGATCGGAATTCGTGTGCTTGCTTTACACTGCGCGTGCGCCATCATTCAGCATTACCATGGCAGCAGCGCCAAACAGAAGTTAAAGCCTGTAAACGGTTGAAAAGCAGCTTATCTCACCTTTTTCTCCATCGTCTCACTCTAATAACGAAGCTGAGAGCTGATCAGAGTTAATTATCTTCTCAGCGAAGCTCGTTCTGCTCGTTAGTTTGTGCTGATGATGAACGTGATTCATTCACGTGACGTTACTGAGTAGGATGAGCTCATGAGGGTCATTTCAGGACTCCGGTTCATCACATTAATGACAGATTTGAATCACTTACCTAAACGAGTGTGAACCATCCTGTCAGAGAGATTTCAGCAAAAAATCGGATTTGAGCAACGGGGCTTGTCATGTGAACGTAGCAATAGAAATCATGTAAAACAACTATATGCAGTTTTCACTATAAAACAAATGCCTAGATTTCGAAATGTATCCCGACTGTAACTTCTGGATCGGCATTCCAGCCTGTTTTAACCCCTGATGACGTGCCGGTGTGTGCTGTAGGTTATCAGTGGAGGCAGTGGAGGAGGAGTTCAGCGAGCTGCAGTCCAGAGCCACCGCCCTGCTGGACGGACTGGAAACTGCACCGGATCTACACGCTCAGATCACACCATTCCTGCAGGTGCACACCCAAAAGACTCCATTCCTAAGAGTACACACACTAGGAATGACTAGGAATTAGGAATGATAAAGAATAAAGCTACAATCTCATTAGGAATTATTAGAAGTGAAACTGTGTTTTGATTATGAATGATTAGGAATCAAACTGTGTGATTATTATGAAAGACTTGGAATGATTAGGAATTAATGAATTTATGGTCTCATTAGCAATTATGATTAACAAAAAATGAAGCTGTGCTATTGAGTGCAATGATCAGGAATATTAAGAACAAAGCTAAGCTTTCTTTAGGAATGTTTAGCTGTACAATCATTAGGAATGATTAGGAATATAAGGAATGAAGCTTTACCATCATTAGGACGCATTAGGAATGTAGCTGTGCTATAATAAGGAATGATTAGAACTGAAGCTACACTTTTCTTAGAAATGATTAGGAATTAAATTGTGCTGTGGTTGATTAGGGATGAAGGAATAATTAGGAATTATTCCTTCATTACGAATTAGGAATTAAGCCCTGCGAATATCAGAAATTTGAATGAGCAGAAATTTTAGAAATGAAGCTGTACTATTATTAGACAGGGCAAGTTTATTTATAGAGCACCTTTCATACACTGCTGTCATTCTAAGTGCTTTACAAATGAGAAAATACAGAGTCTGTGTGTGTGTGTGTGTGTGTGTGTGTGTGTGTGTGTGTGTGTGTGTGTGTAGGTCACGGAGCTGAAGTTATCCGAGCTGCAGGTGGACGTGGACTCTCTGTATAAAGCCCAGCGCTCCCTGATGGAGTTCTTCTGTGAGGATGATGATGGATCCTTTAAGCTGGAGGAAGCCTGCGCTACATTCCACAGCTTCCAGCAGCGCTTCCTCCGAGCCGCACAGGTGGGAGAAACACATTTAAAGTGATAGTTTGTCAAAAAATCTTATTTACACTGGTTTTGCGGCGATCAAAGAAGCCGCTGTGGGCTTTACATACACTAACCTTTATCACGATAGGATTAGAAGCAATACTGACTGACATCTCTCCTCATATTTTTAATTTCTGTTTTAATATTTTGCCCAATAATAATGTTTTAGATTTACTTCAGTTGTTAAACATGGTTCTTATTAAATGTGAATGGACATCCAGAAAACTCTCAGAAATAAAGGTACTAAACTGTCTTTGGGGTAGTTCCCTTATTGTCACTGGGGTGGAACCCTCAAGGCTCCATCTCAGTACCTTTAGTCAGGGAACATAACTGAACCATAATCCACTGAAATGATATGTTCTAAGCTGTACTGACTCCACACACCCCGTCTCGTCTCCAGGACTTTATTTTACTGTTCTGTTTTAAAACATTCTGTTATGAAAAGGTACAAATACGAACTTTTCACCTGGAAAAGCTTATTTAAGGTTCACAATTAAACCTTAAAACCACTGTTGTACCTTTGAGGGAACATTTACACTGTTTGTACCTTGATGAATGAAAAATGTACCTGAACAAAACCTTTATTTCTAACAGTGTAAGACACCATTGCTAATCTACAAAAAAAGGTTTACAGAAACATCCAAACAGTTTTATTTGAAAAAAAAATATATATATATACATAAATACACTATACCATGATACCAAAACCATCAGTAAGCATAATTATACTGTGATATAAACTAAAACACATAATAAACTATAACACATGCAATTAATTACATTACTTATCTATCTATCTATCTATCTATCTATCTATCAGTCAGTCTGTCTGTCTGTCTGTCTGTCTATTTATATATGATTGTTTGTTTACGTATGTGAAGTTGATCTACTACTTCTTTAGTGTTCTTCTCTTTAGTGTTTGCCGTTGTTGTTGACTTAAGAAAACCCAAACTTCACACACCAAACGTGTTTTGGGTGATCAAGGACACGTGCATTAAAGGCTGGGGGGTAAATTGGTATAATCTGGTAATTTGTGCAGAACTATCACTTTAAGAATAACCCCTCCCCTCCCTTTTTAGGAGAATGAATTGCGAGAGCAGCAGGATCAGCAGCGTTTGGAGAGAGAGCAGACGGAGAGAGAGAAGGCGAGAAAACGGCGCTCTATTGCTTCCTGCTCCGCCCTGGAGGCGGGGCTGGAGTTTGATGACAATGCTTTGGAGATGATCCTGCGGGCTCCTGCGGCTACACCTCTGAGGCGGAACCTGTGGTCGACACTAGGCCGCCGGGCACCGCAGCGTCCAGCGTTAATCAGGTCAGTCTGCTGTCATCTCAGTACTGCTGTAGTTTTCTTTAACATTGTCTAAATTCACGCTCTCTGTTAAAGTCTTGTAAAGGTTCAGTTACAACAGCAAGTTAATATGTTTCGTAAACCTGTACAGTTGTTTTTAGTCTCTTTTATACGGATAGTTCAGGTTGTAAAATCTGATAGACTGAGTCACGAGACTCCATATGGGGAATTCTACTGAAATCAATCTGTGGTCCCTGAGTAAAAAAAAAAAACTGTTAAAAAAACAATGAAATATTCAAGGCAAGATTATTAGTGTAACACTTTTCATACAGTGGCTATTCAAAATGATTTACACAGACATAGAAAAACAACAGCATTAAAAAAATTCAATAGTAAAGCTTATTACATCCTGAGATCTAACACCTCAAAGGCATATAAAATATATAAAATAAGGAAAAAATTAAAATAGCATTAAGATAAAGTGTAGTGCTAAACAAAGGCACAAGAAACAAGAAAGTTTTCAAACCTTAGATATTCACGAGAATTATGTTATGGTCTATTTAAAGGAGCAGTGTGTAGGATTTAGTGGCATCTAGTGGTGAGGTTACACATTGCGCCCGTCTGATTCCCCCTCCCTCACCCCTCCCTTTCCAAGTGTGTAGTGGAACCTACAGTAGCCATCAGCTTCTCTAACGTCGCCTGTCCCGATTTCATTGTGCTTCTTCATGGTTTCTCTTCTTTGACGGTGAGGATTCAGCCTCTCTCGCTTTCTCTAGTGCTAAATAATAAGTCTGATTCTCCATTTGCCTAATTTGCATTCTCAAACTTCTCACAACACAAAATGATCAGCCAGCACCGGCAGCGACCACTGATTCTTCTTCTTTCTCTGTCTTCTAAAACCAAATTTAAGCTGCAGCTTCAGTGTACACTTGTCATTATGGAAATGGAGGAACCATGTTGAACATGTCTGGGTCTGTAGACAGTTTGATACGCTGTTCGCTGTTACACAGAATCTTACAATGAGTCTCAAAAACAAAAATATGCTTTTAATGCTTTTATAACTTTCAGAACGCATTCGTCATCCACACAAACCAGAATGTTAGCTTGCTTAGTTTCACTAGTAAGCGAGATAGCTAGTTTAGCCAGTAACCCACGAGCTCTGTATGATTTAAATTTTGCCTTATCGCTCAAAACATGTAAACTTCATCCAATCGAACGTCTTCCCTCCAGATCTTCAGTGTCAACAGTTCTGTATGAATCCAGTTGTTTTCATTATTATGTTAACTCTTATGGACTGAGAGAAGAGAAAGAGAACCGCTGTTTGTCTGCGTTCTGAGAAAGTTATGTCTGCCTTTACCTGATTGGCTGAATGCAGTGCAGTAGCTGCATTTATTTGCATAAAATAACAATGTTTTGCAAAACAAATTGCGTTGCACCACGTGAAAATTAATTATTTATTTAAAAATTAATGAATTATTGAAATGAATATGATATGGCAAGGCGAAGTTGCAAATGGACACGTACCATAAAAAGTAAAGAGTAAGTTACTTCCTTGTCTTACAAGCTTCAGCTTCAAGTTTTTTGTAGTATGACACCGTTAGCTTGATGCTAACACAGCACAGAAAATCACATAGCAGAAATTAGCATTTTCAACATGGTGGTACTTTGGTGAGCAAAAGCTACTTATATGGTGGATGTGTTTGCATTAATCACTGCTATATTATGATATATTTATTGATATATGAAAAAAATGAAATGTCTGAAAGTTATTGTCTATTTTTCAGCAGTTTGCGGTTGCTTGGCAAGGATAAAGAGCACTAAACGAACCACATTTGTTGGAAGATTTATTGCAAATATTATCAATTGCAACTTCAACTTCCGTAACTCATGATTTATATATTTGTTTCTTTCCTGTCTTACAGCCTGATTGAAACACCGGCAGAAAACACCAGTCTTCCGGGAAATGAAGCTGGAATACAGGCAGAATCTCCTGATATCGTGGTGGCTAACAAAGATGCAAATCCCACTCAGGCTGAGACCCGGACCGAAGCTGAGCTTACCAGTCTCTCCTGCCCATCTGCTGAGGCGGAGTCAGTGAAGAGCCCCGCTCACTCAGCTTGCATCCAATCCAAAAGCTGGACGCTTGATGCCAGGCTCCGCCCACATGTGGGTGAGACACACACGCTAGTTTCCGGCCTGCAGTCTTACAGCAACTTAGCTCCGCCCTCAGGAAGAGCAGACCAAGAAGGGAGGAAACAGGAAGTGAGAGAGCGGTCGGAGGAGGTGGAGCAGGAAGTAACGGAAGTGATGTCATCTCAGGAGGGCGGAAAGACGAGGGGAAAACTCAGAGAGGGGACGACGAAGGACGTCAAAGCTGCCGATCAGAACCAAAACAGGACACACGCCGCCACGCCCCCTTTTAGAGCGTCCCGCCTACCGCTGCCCCGGATTGGTTCACAGTCTGCCGACCCATCAGGAATAGCGAGTGGGGCTTCTAAAAAGGAGGGGCTAAAGGCGAAAATCCCGCAGCCACTGAAACGACTGCTGGACAGAGCATCTAACAGAAAGGAGAAAGAAAAGAGAGAGAAAGGGAAGGAAGTCAGAGAGAAACAGAAGACTGAGAACGATAGAGATAGACAGAAGAGAGAGAAAGAGAGAGAGAAGAAGGAGAAGCAGAATGGAAAGAAGGAGCAGGAGAAAGAGCGAGAGAAACGGGACAAAGAGCGAGTGAAGTCAGAGAAGGAAAGACAGACAGTGAGGATGGATGGAGTGAAGGAGATGAATGTGGAGCGGTCGGTGAGGTCAGGGTCAGCGCTGGCCACAGTCGTGTCCAGGCCTCTGTCCAGGCTATGTCCGGCCGCGGCTCCGTTAGCATTAGCGTCCGTCCGCTGCACGGCTAAAGTGCTGCATTCGGCTCTGAAACGGGACAGAAGCAGCAGCAGCTCACGCATCCCAGCACCAACCAGCAGCAGAACACTCAGCCTGCCGCGCTCAGACACACAGTCTTAATTAACCCAGATTTAACGGGTTTATCTCCAGTGTCAGTGTTTGAGGGCACTGAGGCAGCACATCCAGGCCTCTAGAGGGAGCTACTGCACAGAATGCAGTCCAATGCTGTGTTTACACCACACCTTTCCTTCACTAAAGACCTTAACCCATTTGGGGCTGTTGCCCTGTCATTAGCTTAGCTGCTGTTTAGTCTCAGTTTAACACAGGTTTGACTAAACCGATAATTTCAAGGATTTAATGTGCTCCTGCGAATTAAATTAAACTTGATTCTCTGTCTAAACAAGCGCAAATCTGCCCGATCCACCACTAAACTTCCTCTAAACCAGATGTCCTGATATATTTTGGTACATAAAAGCTTTAACCCTATACACCGATCAGGCATAACATCATGACCACCTCCTTGTTTCTACGCTCATTGTCCATTTTATCAGCTCCGCTTACTATATAGGTGCATTTTGTAGTTCTACAGTTACAGACTGTAGTCCATCTGTTTCTCTGATACTTTGTTAGCCCCCTTTTACCCTGTTCTTCAGTGGTCAGGACCCCCATGGACCCTCACAGAGCAGGTGCTATTTGGGTGGTGGATCATTCTCAGCACTGCAGTAACACTGACGTGGTGGTGGTGTGTTAGTGTGTGTTGTGCTGGTGCAAGTGGATCAGACACAGCAGTGCTGCTGGAGTTTTTAAACACTGTGTCCACTCACTGTCCACTCTATTAGACACTCCTACCTTGTCAGTCCACCTTGTAGATGTAAAGTCAGAGACGATAGCTCATCTGCTGCTGCACAGTTTGTGTTGGTCATCCTCTAGTCCTTCATCAGTGGTCACAGGACGCTCTTGGCTGGATATCTTTGGTTGGTGGACTATTCTCAGTCCAGCAGTGACACTGAGGTGTTTAAAAACTCCAGCAGCACTGCTGTGTCTGATCCACTCAGACCAGCACAACACACACCAACACACCACCACCACGTCAGTGTTACTGCAGTGCTGAGAATGACCCACCACCCAAATAGTACCGGCTCTGTGAGGGTCCATGGGGGTCCTGACCACTGAAGAACAGGGTAAAAGGGGGCTAACAAAGTATGCAATTTCTCTTAATCAAAATTCTGGAACGTTATGCTGTCCGTTTGGGAAAAATAGATGCTCAAATAGAAATTCAGGGAAAGATCACCTTTTAGCTGTTTCACCCACAATCAGCAGGATTCTGTCTTTGGCAGCACTGGCCTCAGGGTGGCACTGTAGTAAACTAGTTCATACTGTAGGTCCCTTTTGTAGCCTAGCAATCGTAACTATGCCTGGGATACTTCTGAAAAAATAAGTCAGTTTCAATTGTTCATATTGTGTTCCCTGCTGAAAAAAACAGCACAGACCAGCAAGCATTTCATGCTGGTCCTATCTGGTCTATACTGGTTTATGCTGGTTTATGCTGTTCTGGTTCTGGTCATGCTGGTTGACCAGCATACCAGCATCAAAACAAAACACATGCTGGTTTGAGGGAGCTTTTAGAGGTGGACGTCTGGTTCCTATCACCACCACTGTGAACAGTTCTGACTCGCTAAGTTTCTCTAGAACAGAGCGTTTCACGCCAAACCCCTCTGAACCGCTCTGTTTACATCTTAACCACTTTTTATGCAGGAATTTAGAAAATAATAGTGGAATTCCCCTTTAAGCAAACGCTAACAGCAGGGGGTGATCTGACCACGGTCCTTCTCTATAGGATAATAGAACAGCACTGTGCACTGGCTCCCCCTAGAGGCCGACAGGAACTACCGCAAAACTAAAGAAGCAAAACTCAGATAAAACCCGATTTGACTGCATTTGAGGTCAGAGGGGAGAACAGTGGGAACTTTCACCAAAATATCGCTTTAAGAGAGATATTTGTACGTAGGGAGTCACAAACAGCCAGAGAAAGAGGAAGATGGAGAGGGAATAGTGATGGATGGATGTATGGAGAATGACGGAAAAGGCTTATGTTTATGGAAAGGCTTGAGTTTGTGGTGTAAACTGTTTCGGGATCAGCTTCCAGAGGCATCCTGAACAGTGTGTTAGTGCTGATACAGGAAAAATTAAAGGGAAAGTTTAGCGGTGCTTTGGCCACTGTTTATTATAACACATTTATGCAAATCAAACGTATTGTGATAATTAAATGCTTATAGCTGTGCAGCTGCTGGTAATTATGGAAAATGCATCGCCATTGTTTCCTGTGAAACAGAGTAGAAGCAACATGTAATTGTCGTTCATTTGTTATAACTGTGTAATTGTAGCAAAATACAACTCAGGAATTGTAATGGATAATATCAATGATACTCTCAACAAAATATACCTGCTGCTCTGAGATTGATGGATAGAGTCTGATAAGTTGATGTTTAATTACGATGATAATAAATTGTTATTAATAAACATAATAAAGTACTCACAATTCACTTGATTAAACTTGATTAATTGATTGAATATATATAAGCCCATTGTCATGTGTGGAGAGTAAAGAGGCTGGATGTAAGTGTGAGTAAGCTTTACCAAACGAAAGAAACTAGTAGAAACGTACAATACCAAAGGGCTTGATATAGGTACTGGGAGTGGGAGGAGACGGGACTACAAACAGGTGGGAATTCTAATTGGGAAGGTGGGGAAATGGGCGAGACTAGGAACCAAAACCCAAGCACATGGCCAAAAGGCACATGGGACAATGGGGAAACTGACACACCCAAACTCAAGGACAAGAGCTGAGAGACATTTTTTATTGGACAGTCCTCATCTTCGGTCTTTGTCCATGCTGAGAAACCATGCTTTTTGCATGGAAGTACAGCCAACATTCATGTTTACAAACGTTCTAATTTGGTCTATATGAATGAATGTTTTCTTGAATTAATTAAGCACTAAAATATTAATTAAAAACTTCATGTGCTTACAGTACTATTACTGATAATAATAATAATAATAATAATAATAATATTAATATCATTAGTGTTGTTGGTAGTAGTGTTAGTGGTAGTGGTGACAGATTAATTGCTAATAAACATTGACTAAGATGCGCTGAAATGAGTGTGGATGTTATGCAGTTAAAATGCGGGACACTTATTCTTATGTATTAGTTTACAATGTTAGGTTTTTTTTTTTTAATGTGGACACTTGTTAGAAAATGAACACACACAAAGTAATCCACTGGGAATGCACTTCACTCACAGTAACCACTCACATTCAGCAGGAAAGATGATATAAATCTTCTGTTTTATAAACAAACGCACATTTACTTAACTGAACACTAAAACATTCGTTGATGATAATGATAACAATAATTACATTAATAATATCATTATTGTTGTTGAAAGTATTGCTAGTAGTAGTGGCAACAGTAGAATTGCTAATAAACATCGACCAATATGCACTTAAATAAGTGTGTATGTTATGCATTTAAAATATGGGACACATATTCTCATATTTTAGTTTACATTAGTTTATAATGTTCGTGAAAAAAATGTTAGATTAAAAACTTTTTTTTTAGTGTGGGACTTTGTTTTCCTGAGACCCCTGCTGTTAAATGATGTCACTATAAATGTTGTCAATGTTGTCAGCTATAGTTAGAACACAAACACACACACACACACACACACACTAATCCACAGAAAATGCACGTCACTCACAGTAACTTTATTCACATTCAGCAGAAGTATTGATCTATCAAAATAAGAGTCCCATGTACATCTTCTGTTGAATATACAGATACACATTTGCTTGATTAAATTGAACACTAAAATATTTATTATTATATTATTATTATTATTATATTAATAATAATAACAATAATGATAATAATAATAATCATAATAATAATAATCAGTAGTAGTAGGAGGAGTGGTGACAGATTAATTGCTAATAAACATTGACTAAGATGCGCTTAAATGAGTGTATATGGTATGCAATTAGAATATGGGGCACTTTTTCTCATATTTTAGTTTACAGCGTTAGTCAGAAAATGTAAGATTAAAAACTTTTTAATATGGGATGCTTTGTTTTCCTGGGACCCCTGGTCTGAGATGAAGTCACTATAGATGCTGTCAGTTATAGAGTTAGATCACACACACAAACACACACAGTGTGGCATTAACAATAGAGTCAGTTCACAAACACACACACACTTCATGACATCAGAGTCAGAGCCAGCTAGAGAGTCAGCACCAGCATCACAGCATGAACTGGGCTTTGTTCGTTGTCACAGTGCTTGTAATTATGTTTCAAGACACAGTAATGAAAAACCATCTTAATTACATATTATTATTTCCACTTCATTTACAGACCACCTATAAAACTACACCACATCTACACCAGAGACGAGAAACTGCATGACACAGAGAATGCACTACGTTTACCAGAGTCCCTTGCGCCGTGGGCGTGTCGCTCAGATTTGCGCGAAGTGCCCGGATGTCGGGATTCGGACAACGGGAGGCTGGTTTTATGTCACAATAACGCAGTTATAAAAGTCTGTTTTATTCATTTAAAACTTACAAATAGTGCCTGTTTGCCGTCTCTCTGCCGCTAATAACACGCACTGTGTTCATCGGCACCTTCGCGCGGGCTGTTTGGCTGCGTTTGATAACTTGTTTCTCAGTTTGAAAATGCGAGCATCCCTCTTTAGCCTCCGTTAGCTTAGCTTTAGCTTAGCGTTAGCCGGAGCTGCTATGAACGCACTCAGCTGTCCGATCTGAGCCGCTGCGACCGCTGTGAGTATCTCAGCTTCACCACAGCAGTTTAGTCCGTTTTAATGCTCAGTATCTGATTTAGTTCTGCAGTGCGTGTTTGGATCAGACTGTGCTGATTTAGCTTTAGCAGCCTGTCTCTCTCTCTCTCTCTCTCTCTCTCTCTCTCTCTCTCTCTCTCGCTCTCTCTCTCTCTCTCTCTCTCTCTCCCCGTCTGATTTTCTCTCAGTGTATGTCTCTCTGTCTCTGTGTCTTTCTCTCTGTCTCACTCATTTATTGACATGACAAATTTACATTTTCATTATCTAAGCACTGCAATAATTATCTGTCTAGTAAAAGTGAATTAAAAAATACAAAACTAAGATTGATGTATATCAGTACAGCAGTCTCTCTCTCTGTATGTCTCTCTCTATGTTGGGGGTTTCCAGCTCCTGAGTTAAAACAACCTTTAGATTTTTTTCTCACTTTAATTTTTATTTTTTTAATTTATATTATTTGTGTATTAAATGTTAATGTTTGTTTTTAAGTTAATGTGTTTGAGCGATTCTGTTACAAGTTTTGTGAAGCCTGACTTGAGGCTCCTCCCAACCATCCCTCTCATCCCACCCATCCCTCCCTTTTTCTCCTCCCTTTTCTCCTCCCACCCATCCCTCCCTCCCTCCTATCCCTCCCTCCCTCCCTCCCTCCCTCCTATCCCTCCCTCCCTCCCTCCCTCCCTCCTATCCCTCCCTTTTCACCTCTTCCTCTAATCCCTCCCTCCTATCCCTCCCTTTTTTCCTCTTTTCTCCTCTCTCCCTCTTATCTTTCCCTCTTTCCCTCCCTCCCTCTTCCCCTCCCTCCTATCCCTCCCTACCTCCCTCCAATCTCTCCCTCCTATCCCCCCCTCGTATCCCTCCCCTTTTCTCCTCCCTCCTATTCCTCCCTTTTCTCCTCTCTCTTCTCCTCCCTTCCCCTCCCTCCCTCCCTCTTATCCTTCCCTCTTATCCTTCCCTCTTCCCCTCCCTCCCTTCCTCTTATCATTCCCTCTTCCCCTCCCTCTTATCCTCCCTCTTATCCCTCCCTCTGATCCCTTCCTCTTATCCCTCCCTCCCTCCCTCCCTCCCTCCCTCTGTCCAATCCCTCCATCCAATCCCTCCCTCCATCCAATCCCTCCCTCCCTCAAATCCCTCCCTCAAATCCCTCCCTCCCACTTGCCACACTCCCTCTCTCTCTCTCAGGTGACCCCGCCCCTCCCCCTCAGTATGCAGACAGTGAAGTGCGTGGTGGTGGGTGACGGTGCAGTGGGTAAGACCTGTCTGCTGATTTCCTACACCACCAACGCGTTCCCTGAGGAGTACATCCCCACCGTGTTCGACAACTACAGCACGCAGACGTGCGTGGATGGCCGAGCGGTCAGTCTGAACCTGTGGGACACGGCCGGTCAGGAGGAGTACGACCGGCTTCGGACACTCTCGTACCCGCAGACGCACGTCTTCATCATCTGCTTCTCTGTCGCCAGCCCCTCGTCCCACGCCAACGTCCGGCACAAGTGGCACCCGGAGGTCAGTCACCACTGCCCAGGCGTGCCCGTCCTGCTGGTGGGCACCAAGCGGGACCTGCGGTCGGACCGGGAGACGCTGGAGCGGCTGAGGGAGCAGGGCCTGACCCCCACCACCCCGCAGCAGGGCACCACGCTCGCCCGCTCCATTGGCGCTGTGCGTTACCTGGAGTGCTCAGCACTGATGCAGGAGGGCGTGCGGGAGGTGTTTAACGAGGCCGTGAGAGCCGTGCTGTACCCCAACGCCAAGAAACAGGCCAAGAAGTGTGTGCTCTTATAACCACCACAGAGAGTGTGTGTGTGTGTGTTTATGTGTGTGTATGTGTGTGTCTATGGATGGCCAGAAATGTAACATGCAATTATGCAAACGCTTCAAGCTACGCAAGCTAAAATGTCAGCTGAGCTTTCATAACTAGGGCTGCAATTGATTTTGTCTTTTGAACACTTGTTTTATATACATATATATGTGTGTGTGTGTGTGTAATTAATACAAGGAACAAGTTATAAACAATATAAAAAAAGATATAGACCTGTCACCCACGCAAAAAAAACTTGGCAGATGAGAGTGACAAAATTGAGTAAATACACAAAAATGAAATTGTCTTACTTAAAGGGCCTGGTATGGGCTTCAGCGAATGATTATTTCTAGGGATTAGAGGTGGGCAATATTACAATATTTTATTGTTATTGTGATGAATATTATGTAATTTCCTTTGATTATGTTATGTATATGGTCAGTACTAGGCCTGGGCGGCATTTAAAAATAGTAACCATGATATTTTCCTGTTGGAAAATGTGAGCTCCTTCTGGTGTGGGTTCATGGCGACTTGCTTACTAATAGCACCCCTTGCTGAAGAAACTTCAGACTGCCGGTGATTTCCAAAGCCACGCCCAAGAATGGAACGTGAACCCTGGTTTTCCAACATATTTTGCTGTTTAGTGATAAATTAGTTTTTTTCCAGTTCTCTGTTAGTTTGCCATCATTGTGATTATGGCCTTTTAAACATCATCATTAGGTTAATCAACCATCGGCAATATCGGATTACATCGCCCTATCGCCCAGTCCTAGTCAGCACTTAAAGGACACTGACCAATCGCATTTTTCTTTACAAAGAGAGCATAATTTGGCCGGTTTATCCCGATGTTTAACCTGCCCAACCCTTGTCTGCAGGCACCAAAATTTTGGACATCAAAAAGAGCCAAAAAATAATACTTTTTGTATTGTGTTGGTTGAACAGACTTTCACTGTTGTCGAGGGCGCTAGATTTTGTGACACAGTCTGTAGCTACATACTTTTTTGGGGTTTCAGTCCGGTTTGTCCTGAATTTCGGTTCTGGTTTCAGCCAGTAAATTGAGTGTATCGCTAATTATTTCTGTAATCAACTGATCTATCAACCATCATTTGACTAATAGACTATTTTGTCTTTTTCGGTTCCTCTCTCTTTGGTTCTTTTACCACTAAAAGTCTGCATGACAAACAAATTCTTCTGTTATGTTGCAGCGTAAAAACAGAAGCCATATCGCCCCCTACACTTCCTGTAGTGTATTACAGCCTGTCAGAGTGACTGTGTGGATCATATGAACATTATAGAAGCTTTTTAAATGAAACAGTAGAAGCCATATCGCCCCCTACACTTCCTGTAGTGTATTACAGTCTGTCAGAGTGACTGTGTGAACATTGTAGAGAAATAAACAAAAATAAAAACCTCACATCAACTTGCTTTTTCCAGTCAGCTGTTGAAATGTTGCAGCCCTGCCCTAAACGCAAGTGCAAGCTAAACTTAGTAGCAAGGGGGCGCTATAGCACGCATTAATCCAGGTGTAGACATGTGTACAAAAGAGACTTAAAACACTCAAAATGAGTCAGTGCCACAAACTCTACCTGTTTGTTTGGTGTTTGGTGTTTTGGCTGGTGGAAAAACAGCAGCCATTCTGATTCGTACTCTGTCGCCCCCTTGTGTACTGAAGGTTAAAACCACCACAGTAATGTAAACGATACATTGAGCGTGCGGTGGTCTTGCTTACGTTAGCATTAGCGTTTGCATGTTTGCGTTGTGTTTCTGGCCCCGTTGTTTGAGTTATACCTTTGTATCTCTACATTACATTCATAACATCATAAAACAAAGACTTTTTAGGATGAAATCTGTGACTGAGCTTCGTGACTGACCAGCGTGATGAAGTTGAACGACACTACATCGTGCCTCGCTTTAGGATTCGCCCTAAAAAGTGAACAAGAACGGTACCGCCAAATGTGCCTCGGCCTTTCTTTTTAACCGCCTCGGTGCATTCAGATTGGCTCCTTGAGCTGGAGTGCCCCGCCCCCGCTGTGACATTACTGCGTCTGCTGCGCTCTGTTGGCTCGCTTCAACCCTAGCCGCCAAAGTGCAGAAGCCCAGTGGCTTTGCATTGCCTTGTTGCCATGGAAGTGTCTGAAACTGACTTCCTGCCTTAACCCTCTCTCACATGCCTAAAGATGCTGTGATGAACTTTGAAGGGTGCCTGAACCAGGAAGTGCTCCCCAGCACCCCGTGTGCCTTCGCAGAGGCTAGCTCAGGTCCAGATGATGCCTCGTGACCTTTGACCACAGGCCTTCTCCTGATTATCAGTGTGTTATTGATTATCGGTGACCGAAATGGATCCCTGTCTGCGTTTAAGGGCACTGTTGAGGTGATTTTGAGGGCACTTCAGTTACCAATGATGCACTGTATGAGTTGAATGTGTGCCAAAATGCATTGTCTCTCGTTACTGCGCCGGCTGACGTTGCCCGTCTAATACCTGCAAAATTAAAGTTACAGTTAGCCCAGCTAGCTAACTGTTAGCTTAACCACTGTTAGCTGTTTCATACTATCCATTAATCAGTAGCACGGCGTGGGTGGCCCACAGGAACAGAGGCACTCCTGCGATATTTTTTCAAGGTTAATGTGGCATGATTTATTTTTTTTTTATCTAGTTTCCTTATTTGACTGACGCAGGTTGTTGAAAATGTCATTTGTTTATCGATTCATGTGTTTTATCACTAAAAAGTGCCCCAAATAAAACATAACGCTAATGAAGCAGTAGGGGTCCATTTTGGTCACAGCCTTGGTTTTTTTCAGTTTTATCCACCAACACACCTGAATTGGAATCAGAAGACCTGAAGGATCTGATTTCCCGGATAGTGGTGGGGAGTTAAGAGAAAATCAGACCAGAGTCCTGCCTCACGAAGTAGAAGCCAGCAGACTTTGACAGTAGTTTGATTTAATCTGGGGTTTTTAACGACGATGAATCACCTTTTGATGTAACACTGCGCACCTAACCTGCTCCAGAGCAAGCTCAGTTCAGGATTACAGATCATAAGCAGTTCCCGGACCAATCAGCCACCGTTTTCTGACGTTTATATGGCACCAATCACGTGAAAAATACTGCTTTTCAGGGGAGGAAGCAAATCATACTACTTAGATATGAACACTATAAAGCAAGTATTACTCCCATAACCACCAACACTGTGCCATTGTTGCTTTTTACTAGAATTAATATTTCACTTCATTTTCTTGTTTATTATTTACTCGTTTTTTTCCCATTTTTACCCAGTTATTTTTTATTTGGTCATGTCCATTCCCATCAGCTATCTATCTCCCTATCATACAATGCTATGTAGCTGGGGAGGGTGAGGGCTAGCATGAGCTTCCTTCGAGATACAGTAACCACCGTTAACAGTGCTAATTGCTAATTCTAATTTAGTTAATTAATTAAAAATAAAACATTAACCCTCTACTGCGCTCATTATAAGAGCAAAGGGGAAAAAAACATATTCTGTTTACTTTTCTTGCATTAAATCGGCCTAATTATTAAGTTCAAAAGTATTTTCAAATAATAAAGTGTGCTGGGGTCCCTTTGGGGTATGTAGCCCTGAGGCAACATTGTGTGATGATGGGAAGAAATGATATAAAACTTCCCTGAAGTGGTGAGATCTGGTTTGTGACTGGCTGAATCCGTTCCACTGCCCTACAGTGTTACTTCTAGGCAACAAACATACTTCGGCAAATTCTCATAAAAAAGAAAAAAAAAATGTTTTGAATGTTAAAAAAATGGTTTAAAAGTGTCCATTAAGAGAGAATACGACCAAATAGGACAGTTATGATCTCTTAGACTGTCACTTACGGATGGCTGTGGCATCGCCGGAGATCGAGCTCACGACCTCCTGACAGTAGGCCAGAGCCAATTGGGTGCCACTTTACTTTTCCACATATTTTGGTAGTATGATTTTCTTTTCCTTCTGTGAAAAGTGAGCTGTTTCCTGTGATTGGCTGTACATTGTGCGTTCAGGTTTCATTGAGCTGGCGATCCGTCAGAAACCCAGTCTGAGTTAAGCGCACTTCATGAAACAGAACTCTGGCTGTAAATGTTGGGCTTTTTTACACTAAAATACATAAACCTATTCCAGAACGCTAAACCATGTGCTCTTCTCTCCTGGACTCTGAGGTGCCGCTCTGGGTTTGGCGCCGTTGTGTTTTTCCGTTATTCTATGTGGCGTGAATGTTTCGAATGTTTGCTGATTACAGACTCGTATGGAAGGTCTGATTAGCTGCGTGTGGAGCACAAAAAAACTTCAACCAAGCTGGAAAGTTATCTAGGGTGCCAAAAATGAAGAAGTATGTGCACTATTTTCCTCCCGTGTGGGACCCAAAGCAGAGTTTCTCTTTCCATGTTGATTTCCAGGTACTTTAACTGACTCATTACGACTGTTTTGGTTCATATTTACTTTCTCATATCAGCACAAAACACTACATAAACCCTTTGATATGTTTTTGAAGATTGAAGATGCAGCATGGTGTACGAGACAACAATAAAACATATTTTAAAGCCAAGCTTGCCATTTCTTTGTTTGTTATTATTATCTGACCGCGGTTCTGACAGGCTGTTATTTATAAACATGGGCATCAGCAGAGCTAAAACAGTAAAAGCTGCCTTCAATTCTGAATTGTATCTGTGCTTTAGTCCATGTTTATAGATAACAGTGAGTCAGAAAGCACATAATCAAGTCTTCTCGAGATTATTGATCAGCTCCACACGGTTTGGGGCGAGCCTGCAGTTGGTGGGGTGTTTTGAATTGGGACACAGCCAGTGTTATTTCATAAATAAATAAATACATAATTTCAGATTATACATAATAATCCCTCAAGTTTTACTGGAACACACCGAGCATTATTTCATAAATTAAAACAAAAAAAATTGTTATAAATTTAGTCAGCCGTCTTTTATAAATTAATAATCCAATAGTTTGTATTGGGACACAGCCAGTGTTATTTCATAAATGAATAAATGCAGCTTGTTGTATTAAGACACAGCCAATGAACACATAATTTCAAAATTTAGCCTGTGTTAGACAGCTAGTTTTTATTAATTAACAGTCCAGCTTAGACTGGGACAGTGTCATTTCATGAATGAATACATGTTGGTATGAGACACGACCAATGAATAAATCCATAATTTCAGATTTCAGCTAGTATTATTGCATAAACCAAGGGTGCCCAAACTTTTTGTCTGAAGTGTGATGTTTTGTGGTGGGCCAAAAAGACAGACCAGTTTACAGATAAGGGAGGCAGATTTTAAGAAAGTGTATATATATGTGTATATATATATATATATATATATAATATATATATATATATATATATTAATTTACTAAAATACTTGAAAAGGTATAATTTAATAAAATGCAGTACTGTTGATGATCCAGCAGGTTGGATTGGGACGCGGCCCGTGTCTCTGACTGAGTGCAGTACCGTAAGTGGTCTAGCAGGTCTAGCAGGTCGGATTGGGACGCGCCCCGTGTCTCTGACTCAGTGCTGTCAGTGACCAGCAGGCGGCGCTGCTTCAGTCAGTTTAGAGGCGGTTTGTTTCCAAACAGAAGCGGCGCTTCGGCGGGACGACCTGTAGACTTTAATAAGACTTTATACAGTCTTTAAATCAGATATTAGAGCCATTTATCATAAATCAGTAGCTTAAGCTGTTCCTGCGACATTTATGGGTGCACATTTCTGCAGAAAGTGACATTGGATGGCTCGAAACGTGGCGGAGTGCTAACGGCGGAGCGGCCGCGCTGAGAGGCGTGTTGCCCGGACGCAGCGGGGAGGAGAGACCGGGGAGTTAAGGCCTAGTGCGGAGAAGCCCGGAGGAGCAGGTAAGATTGTGTGTTTTATTTCATTTAAAGTTTATTTTATAGTAGATTATAGTCACTTGTCACTGCGAGCCGCTCCTGTAGAGCAGACCATGTGCTGGAAGATAAATTAGTGAGTAACTGGACCAGAATGGACT